TTTTTTTTATTTATTTATTTATTTATTTTTACAATATTACTGGACATCACATTGCTTCTTACAAAACTTTACGAGGTGTCTCACCGAGTTGCCCGTGCTGGACTCCATGTAAGCCTCAGTCTTGGGTTCCACTGCAAGTTCAGCATCCAGAATCTTCTCCACTGGCATTTCTTCATTAAAGCTGCTACTAGACTCCATCTCATTATCACTCTTTTCCCGACCCCGCTGCCTCTCTTCCTGCACCGCTGCACACACGGAACGTTTCTATTGCTTCAAACAATAATCCACAAACAAAAAATACCTCTCTTTCATTTGAGTCACTCACCTTCTCTCTTCATGCCCATGGCCAGACACTTCTGATAGCGGCAGTACTGGCAGCGGTTACGCTGGCGTTTGTCAATCTGGCAGTCTTTACTGTCTCGACACGTGTACGTGAGGTCTTTCCGGATAGTTCTCTTGAAGAAGCCCTTGCAGCCTTCACAGCTGTAAACACCATAATGTTTCCCTATAGGTAGACAAAGATAACATACGTTACATTATCATATCATGTCATTAAAGTGATAGTTCACCCAAAAATTCTGTCACCTTTTACTCACCCTCACGTTGTTCCAAACCTCTACGGCTTTCTTTCTTCTGGAAAATGAAAGAAGATATTATAAAGAATGTTTGTAACCAAACAGTTTCAGGTCCCACTGAATTCCACAGTATGGAAAAACAATACAATGGAAGTTAATAGAAGCCGAAATTGTTTGGTTACAAACATTCATCAAAATATCTTCTTTCAAGTTCCACAGAAGAAAGAAATTCATACAAGTTTGGGGGGAGTAAATGATGACAGATTTTTTATTTTTTGGATGAACTATCCCAGTCAGGCTGGAAGAAGTCGGTCAGGCTCCAGTTAAAGAGAGAATCAGCATGACTAAACATGTACTGGTGTACATGTGCTGTATGAGGGTACGTACCTGAGGATCGGTCTCCACAGATGGCACAGAAGTGTTTAGAGAGGGACCCCGGGCTGCTGCAGGCGTAACTGCCCAGTCCCGCCAGTCCTGGAGGAGGTTTAATGTCTTCTGAGCTGCTAACACTGTTCATAGAGTTCATCTGTAAGGAAGGAGAGGGAAAAAACAACAAAGTAAGCTTGTGTCCGTGTGTGGTTTCCCACCACCTAAACAATCAAATTGTTACCTGAGCACCTCCTCTTTGGATCATGTGACATGATTCCTTTTGCATTCACTTTCTGTGGCTTTGAGCTTTATTAGACATGTATGGTATACAGTTTTCTAGATGTTTACATGGTTGTAATGTGAAATACGAAAACTATGGACTACATCATTTAAAGTGCTACGATAAATAAAAGTGATTAATTACAGTGAAAGTATCGGCTAAGGGTAAATTAAGTTTGTCTTCACCAGTAGATGGCAGCAAACGGTCATACTTGACATGGCAAGTTTTATGAGCGAAACAAGATCATGTTCAAGGCTGTTATAGAATTAGACACACATGCCCAGAGAGAGATAGAAAGGTCAGGGAATGGAAACTGAAAACAAACCAGCTAAACCCCAGTGGGTCTTTTTAAAAAGCTGAACGGTTTTTTTTTTTTTTTTTTTTAAATACAATGACGGGATATGCATTTTTAATGATTCTGGGAGCTCCGCATTTGTTAATGCATATTTTATACAATTTTGTCTTTCCCCAAACTTTGCAAAAAAGCAGTATTTAGCTTTCGACCCAACAGTGCACTAATCTCAGACTTCAAACATTATACACAACAACAAACCAGCTCCTGCTGCATAAATGCTGTATAATTAATGTATTTTTGACAATTCAACAAGCTTGTGACTTTATTTGAATAGATTGGACAGTTAAAAGTGGGAGTTACAGTACATACATACCAGAATAGAGTCAGACCTGAATGTGAACTTGCTAATAACCCTTGTAAAAAAAAAAGTGTGCTTAATTGTCCTGAATGTGCGCTTGTAGTGTACTTCAAATCTTAAAAGTATATTTTAAAAAATACTGCAGATTTTAATACTGCATATTACTTAAGTGTTTTAAGAGAGTACATTTTTATGACTATAGATGTGCCCCAAATTATGTACTATTTGTACACTTATACTACACACTATGTACTCAACCATCTAGTGTGATGTTTAAATGGTTATTTTGTCATCAAACTGTGTCCAATATTCCATATTTCTGTTAGATAAGTGCATCATCTGGCTATTTAAAGTGCACTTTTTCATGTTAAGTATTACTCACGTCACTTAACCCTCATGTTGTGTTTAGTGGTCGACCGACATTGGTTTTTTGACAGCCGATGCCGATATATTGGAAAGCAGGGTGGCCGATGGCCGATATAATTTTACTTATTTTAATTAATATTTAAGAAATTTGAAATCATTTGAAAATTGATTAAAAAATAAATGTGTTAAATAAACATACTTATACTTTAGATGACAAAGTATTTTTCACAAATAAATAAATATTTAATAAAAATATAATTAAAAAGGAAGTAAACACTGTAACCAACAGGGCACTCAGTATTCTGGGAAGTTTGTGTGCATTAATCATATTTTTTTCAAATAAAGCCAAGGTAACACTCATTTTACATACAGCACACAGTGAAAATGACATGAATATGACAGTGGGCAAATGCATAAAGCGCAGCATAATTTGAAATCACTAGTTTAAAGTTTGTCGATCGCGCGTCTCCAGTGAAGCTGAACTCTCCTCCTGTCCGTATTCAATTCTCACGGATTGACCGTCAAGCAGAGAACATGCGATCATGCAGGATACAAATGCACATTTCACAAGATCTCACAACTGGATCCGACTAAGTTTGCAAGGTTTTTGAAATTAATTGTTTATTAGACATTTATTAGAAAGATTTGTTTAAATGATATAAATGCGTATTTGCTGAATGCTGACGGCAAACAAGGAAGTATTATAATGTTTGCCTTTCTATTACTAATAATATAAAAGCAATCGTTATAATACTTTTTGTATACATTTTAATTCCTTTGTTTAACCGTTCTATCTGATTATTAGACAGACGTATTAGATAATCCATATTAGACAGAACTGAACGACAACAGCGAACAAGAGGGAGAATGTAAGCACTGTGTGCTCAGGCGCTGACGTTCTCAGCGCCGTCAAAATAAATGTCCCGCCTAGAACGCATCGGCCAAACAGGAAAACTTATTGGCCGATGCCGATATTTAAAAAATGCCAAATATCGGCCGATATATCGGTCGACCACTAGTTGTGTTTTGGTCATTTTGACAAGGAGAGGATTTTCTTTTTCCAGAAAATGCTAGTGAATGTAATTGCATTAGACTAAAATGTACTGACTTTGCTTACACAGCATGTACACTTGTTACACTTATGGTGTTCTCGGTCAAAAATGACAGGCCTACAAAAAATTGCTTATAAATTTCTGTTATGCTATATTATTACCAAATCTTAGATTCTGTCTTTTTATCAACTTGCTTTATTTCAATTAGGACAGGTTTTGTATTTCTTTTTGGAACTGACTGATCGTAGGCCTCACTGATCTGAGTTCATGCACCTCAGGTTTTGAGTGAACATTTCCAAAATAGTCCAAAAATAATTATTTTCTTTACTCAAAAATTGAGGCGCATAAGCTTAAATCAATAATCACTTCTAATAAGAAATACAAAACCTATGCTAACTGAAGGAAAACAAGTTAACAAAAAGACTAAATCTAAGAGTTGGTGATAATATAGCATAATGAGAGAATTACAAGCAATTTTTAATGGACTGGTCATTTTTTGACCAAATTAATGGATTAACCCTATAACTCTAACTGTAGAATTTTATTCAATATTACATTTAAAGTTAATATATTTTAAATGTAATAAATTGCAACTTCATCGTTACAAATTTGTAATTTCAAATATATTTAAATACATCCCATATATTTTAGTTTATCATAAATGCAGTACAATTGATCCATACTTCAAGATAAAAGTCATATAGAAGTAATTACTAAATTACATATAACATACTTAAGTCCTATTTAAGAGGGTCAAAAAGCATGCTAAAGTTCAGCTTAATTAATTTAATCTAAAATTGTAAACTATAATACATTTAATTGCAATTAACATGCAGTTATTACAATCAGCTCTCGCACAAGCATATTATTTTTAAAGTACATAATTTCTGTATTTGATTTTAAATATACTAAATTGTACTTATTTTTCAAAAGGTACTACAATGGCTAAATAGCGATTTAGCTATTAGCTAACATACAGCAGCCCACGCAGCCCAAGTGACAGCAAAAAAGCAAAAAAGCAAGTTATGACATTCTGAAGAAAGATTATAAAGACTTTTTTTAAAAAAATAATGTATGGTTAATAAGACCACGAACATGCATTAAAAAAGTAAATTTTGACTTCATGTCGACTTTAACAGGCAGAAATGTTCATTTTGAAGCTTTCAAACAGTAAAGGCAAAAAATGCACACATGCATTCACTCTCACACAAACATGTTCATTTTGTGAGAGCGCTATCCTGAAACGGTGAGCCGTTCAGTGAGGCAGAAAGATGCTCGGAAGGTGATACACAGCAGCCACCATCACGTTCGCTCCCTTTAATCTGCTGCCTATAGTCTATTTATTATTCAGAGTGCTTGGCCCTCGCTCACAAGAAGCGTTCCTCTATAGAGGCGTCCCTACTTTCAGGCAAGACGTTCACACATGACGCTATTTACAGCTAATAGTATGGCAGGTTTCCACAGCTTTCTTGAAGTGTTGCATATTGCGCCCACTGTAGCGCAGCCTCAATGATATCTCTCTCCATGTGAGCCAAGGTTATACTAGGGCTGTCCGTCACGCTACATTAGCTCTTTTTAGGCTAGAATAAACTGAATGGGCTGTTCTCCCTCGAGCTAGAGGGAGGCCCTGCAGAGGAAAGGAGAGATGCATTAAAAGAGCATTCTGCATTTTCCTCGCTGGTTCGCTCTTGCAGCTAAAGTTTCTCTGATCGGAAGCATGGATGTCCCACTATCTCTTCCGTGAGACATCACAAATGATCCAAAGCAAAGCAAAGAAAAGGTTGTGCTTATTAAATACCTAGAAGTTGTTCTCGTTTAGGGAGGATATGAGAATGGAGAATTTGAACTAGATTGATAATATACAATAATTAACCCAAAAATGAAAATTCTGCCATTAATTACTCACGCTCATGTTGTTCCAAACCTGTAAGATCTTCGTTCATCTTTGGAACACAAATTAAGATATTTTTATGAAATCCGAGAGCTTTCTGATCCACCATAAACAGCAACTCAAATACCACATTCAAGGCCCAGAAACATAGTAAGGACATCGTTAAAATAGTTCATGTGACATCAGTGGTTCAGCCTTAATTTTATGAAGCTACGAGAATAATTTTTGTGTGCTACCCCCCCCCCAAAAGACTCAAAATTCGATGTACATTCATGACAGTACCATGGTGCATGTGTGTACATTCTTAATTTGTGTTCTGAAGATGAACAAAGGTCTTACAGGTTTGGAACGACATGAGGGTGAGTAATTAATGACAGAATTTTCATTTTTGGGTGAACTATTCCTTAAAAATCTATAGCAGACTTTAAGCTCAGTCTAGTGATATAAATACTACAATGTCTCATAGACCAGTGATTCTCAGCCTTTTTGACTCCAAGGCGCCTGATTGTACACAACAATATTCACAGGCCTACTACAGTCCAAGTTTTGTTATTTTAATCTATGAGCACTCCTAGTGTCTGTAAATGTATAAAAAGTAACTACAGTATGATATAACAATGATACATAATTATATTTTTCAGTGTTCCCACTCTTTTTAACCAACTGAAATGGCTTTGCCACCACAAATAAATTACCAAATCAGCATATTAGAATTATTTCTGGAGGATCATGTGACATGAAGACTGGAGTAACAGCTGCTGAAAACTCAGCTTTGCCATCACAGGAATAAATTACATTTGAAAACATATATAAAAACGAAAACAGTTCTTCTAAATTGCAATACATTTTCACAGTATTACTATTTTACTGTATTTTTATCAAATAAGTGCATTCCCTAGTTGAGAACCACTGTCTCTTTCTCTGTACTGTACCTGTGGACTGTTGAGCGCTCCATAGCCCATGCTGGAGGTGGTGGGCAAGGAGGCTGAAGGTGAGCCCAGAGAGGGGGAAGTGATGACTGAGTATGGCGACCCTAGACCGTTGATGATGGAGGGGTGATGGTGGGACACCATGGAGCTGAGAGGAGGCTGGGATGGAGGAGAGCTCAGGTGACCGAGTGTTACCTGCAAAGAAGAACCTGAGAACAGAAATAGGGGATTAGTCTGTATTCGACATCAACAACTAAATGCAACTGTAAAATGTGACCCTGGACCACAAAACCAGTCATATGTCACAAGGGTATTTTTGTAGCAATAGCCAACAATACATTGTATGGGTCAAAATTATCGATTTTTCTTTTATGCCAAAAATCATTAGGATATCAAGTAAAGATCATGTTCCATGAAGGTATTTTGTGAATTTTCTTACTGTAAATATATCAAAACTTTAAAAAAAGCATTGCTAAGAACTTTATTTGGACAACTTTAAAGGCGATTTTCTCAATATTTAGATTTTTTTCGCCCTCAGATTCCAGATTTTCAAATAGTTGCATCTCGGCCAAATATTGTCCTATCCTAACAAACCATACATCAATGGTTATTGATTCAGCTCTCAGATGATGTATAAATCTGTTTAAAAAAAAACAACCCTTATGACTCGTTTTGTGGTTCAGGGTCACAAATATTAATATTAAAAATAAAAATATTAATCATTAAATAATCATTTAAACATATGCATACATGGTTGACTAGTGAATGTTTCACAAATATCTTCTATACTCATCTACTATATAAATACAGATAATGAACTGTGACAGTTTGACATTTTCATTCTAGAAATGCTGTGAGACATCTGGGGGCCCTGTCAATGAGGGCAGTAATGGTTGGTGGCATTTGCACAGTAGCAGGGGTCAAAAAAGTGAGTAGCAGTGACTGCGGGCATTCATGGATCATCACACATCAAATTTCAGACACGCATCAAATTTCAGGTCTCTCACTCATGGGTCTAAAATGTACACATGCTCATTATTTATTATATATAAATTAATATGCATATCTGCATTATATCGGCTAGGTGTCAGCATTGGTCATTGAAAAACCTGATTGGTCGACCAGTAGACATAACACCCTTCTTTTTGAGGGAGTTTATAATGCTAGCAAGAACAACAAACTGCACAGCTAATGTAAAGCTTTAACTCTTAAAACAGCATTTTCAGTTTAAATACTAACACCAAAACATGGCATTCACCAATAAAAACCAAGAAGCCTATCATGCAGGGGAGATGCAGTTTAGACCCTCACCATACCTTCACAATACATACAGTTTAGTTTTCACATTCATGTTACAATCAGCCACATGCACAAACTCAGTCCAAAGTCAGTCAGATCATCCCAATAAACCATTTTCACTCACTCTCAGTGTATTTTTAAAGGCATGATAGAGTGGTGGCTTTCCAAGTGTCTTTGTTGTGATGCCTCCTGTTCCTCACACTGAGATGGCTCTGTCACTGTGACATGCCCTGTAATGCCCTGGATAACCAGTGGGAACATTGTAAAAGCTATCCTCAGCACCCACACTTACTCAAGTGTGTTAGGGGAGAGTGGTCTCCGTGCCCGGGCCGGGCTAGATTCTTGTGCTATTAATGACCTCTAAATGTCACATTCTGATCTAGAGGAACATCTATCCTTGGAAAGCCTAGGTGTGCATGTTCAATGCCAGAGTTCTGGCACTTTCTTTCACTCGTGCTGAGGATCCTCAAAACACAATTTTAACAGGCCAGCAGAGTTTGTGCCAGTGTTATGAAACGGATTTTATGATTAGCCAGTTTTTTAGCCTCAGACGATTGTTAGAAAGCAGTTTTTTTTTAACATCATTACCTTCTATAAAGCTTAACAGATCATTAATAGAAATAAATGGTGATATGCAGCCCTCTACTAACACCTTGGCAATTGAATCGCTATTGGCTAGTACATTTTTTTGTTTACTCGCCAGACTTACTCCACTTATGTATAACATATGTATAAACATATGTATATGTTTGTTTGTAAAATGGCACAGTTTTATAAATATCTCAAAGTACACTCTTAACATCAGTCAGTCAAGCATTATAATATGATAATCAATATTATTTAATGATAATCCTGTAGATGCAGTTCAAATGTTTGTTCATCAAGGATGTTTTAAATTAATCAAAAGTGGCAGTAAAGTCTTTTACATTTTACAAAATAATTTCTATTTTAAATAAATGCCACACAAATATTAATCAGCACACAACTGTTTTCAAAATTGATAAAAAAAAAATTTCTTGAGCATCAAGTCAGCATATTAGAATGATTACAGAAGTGTCATGTGAGTAATGGCTGCTTTAAATAATAATATGTCATAATATTACTCTTTTACTGTATTTTTTTAATCAAATAGATGCAGCCTTGGTTTCTTAAAAAAAACCTTACAAAACACAAATGGTAGGTTTACAGTAATATACTGTATATTCAGTTATACCTTACATTAAAGATGGCAATATCCAAAATCCTTGTCCTTCTGGGGACATTTTTGGTCCCCATGAGGAAAACATCTTATAAATCATACAGAATAAAGTTTTTTTTTGAAAATCTGAAAAGTGGTAGGTTTATGGGTAAAATACAGTTTGAACAGTATAAAAACACTCCATAAACATTAAGTCTATAGAATGTCCTCATAAAACATGGAAACCCAACATATGTGTGTGTGAGAGAGAGAATTCATATGCTCATGTAGTTAAGCACATATTCTCATGGAATTAGCAGCTTAAGTGGGATGAATCTGAGTAATCGTTTGTTGATTATTCAGCAAATCTCTATGACAGAATGATAAGCAATAATTTGCTTTCTAGCGGAGATTATGGAAAATCAATACAGTCACTCAATCATCCAAATATTCAATTCGCTTGCACAGCACAGAACACCATATGTCTGCATGTAAAGCCGCATGCTGTCATTAATTGCTATTCTGAATGCTTCAACAGGATTGTGGTGTACAATTGTAGTGTATTGTTACCACAATTAAACCTAGTGTGGCTTTCTAATGAAATGTTTATATAATGTGTTTAGTAGCCCTGTAGGTCACCTAGATAATTTTAAGGAGCCATAAGAAATTGAATTAATCTAAAAAGACTAAACAAGACTTATTGAGAGTGCTTATCATGAAAATACAGCTGAAACGAGGCTAGTGAGAAATAGGTTGAAAACTAGGCTGAAATTCTGGTTATTTTTAAAAATGCATGGAAACAAACCCTGAGATGACTTCATAGCATTTTAACCCAAACACCTTGACATTGTGTTTTATAAGCATTAAATAAGACCTTGAAAAAAACATGAAGAAAATCGAAAAATGTGATTGTACTCCTTGTCTTGGACATATATACTGCATTTCATGACTGCAACTAGTTTTCAAAAACTAAAGAATTTTATCAAGCAAAATTGGACTACCTTTTTAATAACCCGATCTCATGAGAAAATGAGAAAACTACAAGGTGGCGATTTTGTATGAAGTTGTATGTTGTGATTTGTGATTTTGATCTTTAGAAAAAAAAATCCTCCCCTAAACCTAACTGTCTGTGAGATATAAGCAGACAAATGTACAAATTAGATATGAATTAGCCCCCAGTTTGCCAAAAATGTAAAATAGTTACAAATTGCCATGAGAGTGTTGACATTTTCAGTTTTGGCCACCATGACCTGCTATGCAATTTTGACAAAATGCAGTCAGTTAATTCGTTTGTTTATCTTTTCAGGATAACATACAGTGGGGAAAATATTTATTTGATCCCCTGCTGATTTTGTAATTTTGTCCACTTACAAAGAAATGAAGGGTCTGTAATTTTTATGGTAGGTTTATTTTAACGTATAGAGACAGAATACCAACCAAAAAAATCCAGAAAAAAACACATTATATAAAGGTTAGTATTTTCACTGTATATACTATACTGGATCCTAAAGTATCTGTTCTCCTGCTGAATAAGGGGGTGAGGCTGGATGGGACAATCCCCCTGGGGATGTGTGGTGGATTGATGCTGGATTACCTGCTCAGATTAAAGAGATTATCATCCCGTGGCTCACAGGGGAACTGCTTTATTGATGCATGCCCAAAATCTGATAATAAGGTTTAGTTCTAAATGTCAGAGAAGGAATGTGTGCTGATTTGGCTTTGTGGTAGTGTTTAATAAAACATCTTGAACGACGGTCTATCAATCACTATTTCACATACAAAAACAAAAAATCTTAATGAAATGTTTTTTTATTTATCAGATTTTTCAGTTTAAAGTAATAATACAGAGAGCGATATAAATGACTAAGTATAAGCTATTGAAATATATTTCTATATAGGAATGACATTGGAGCATGAGTGACACAACCAAGAGCATGGGGGTGAGCGATCTGGAACATGTTTTTTCTCGGAGACTGTCCTTGGGAGAGACTGTCATAACTGGGGCAGAAAAATTGTCAATTAGATTAGCAAGTTGAATAACAACCAGGCCTGTGTTGAAGGTGCTCGCCATTGCTTTTTCAGACTGAATGTTATCTAATGGATCAGGCATTCTGTGCTCCAGTGTTTCGTGTAGGTCTAGAATAACAGACTACAAATGCAAACTAATGTATACTGATCCCAATCCCAATAGATTTTATCAATGGCGAAGGTTTCTCTAAACAGAAATGATGCTGATAAAAAAAAAAAACACTCGCACTGTGCTATAAAATGTTGAATCGTTACATACTTTTTCAACACCAAACACACAGATGAGAGGTCAGTCTTAGCAATGGTTGTTAGGTTTCTTCTCAGCATGAGAAGGGCAACACTTGCATTTAGTTGCAACAGTGAAGGTGGAATAGGATACGGCAGCTTTATCTAACGAGACCACCTCAAGCACAAGGAAGAGAAAGGGTCTTTAAACACCCAAGACACAACACTGGCCTTGTATGTGTTCATCATGCACTCTATTCACCGACTACTGGAACATGAGCTGAACACACAGCTACAACAATACTGAAGGGCCTGCCAAGGCCTTTCTCTTTCAGTATACACAAAATCATGCTTTGTCCATTCCAAATTTTGGAGAAAATTTTGAGAAATTCCGTGCAGCTGTAGCCCTCTTGGCTTGCATGCACTTCTTTAATGAGATTTTTCTTATGCATATTATTGCATAAGAAGAAGTCTAATGGTCTTTTGTGTCCCTTATATTTGTGTAAAACAATGAATAGCTATTGCCTACGTTTACTGTTTTAATATATTTTTTGTCAAAATCAGTTTTTTTTTAATAAATTTAATTTTGTTTTAAATAAAAATTTAATAAATAACTGCTTTTTAAGGCTGCTTCCACTGTTTCCAAAGTCTTGTTATATATATATATATATATTCATCTTCAAGAATTGACTAAAAACACTTCTCTTCCATTTTTATTTGACCCTCTAACTCTAGCACTCTCTATTCTAATTCTATTCTTAAAAAACATGCCCCTTTTAGACTTACATTTACTAACTGCTTGTTTTCTTTAAAAAAAAACTAACACTAGCTTCTCTATTCTTTTTGTATTAAATCTATTTGTTTTCTTTTATTACACAATTAACTAAAAGCAAAAAAAAGGCCTCTAACACTAGCTTGCTTTCTTATTTTTCTATACTATCTGTTTTCTTTTTTATTTATTATATAATAAAAAAACAACTTACGTGTACTGCATTAGGCTAACTGAGACTTGTCATAGCACTTGCATAATGCTCTTTTGTTGATTTTGATTGCTTCCATTGTCCTCATTTGTAAGTCGCTTTGGATAAAAGCGTCTGCTAAATGACTAAATGTAAATTATATATATATATATATATATACATATATAATATTAGGCTAATATTATCATTAACATAATATAAAATCACAACATATAATAAACCACTAATAAATTAATAACAAAATTTTTCATGAAAAAAAAAACGTTTATTTTTAGCATGACCTCGTTGAGGCCGTGCGTGCGTGCGAAAATGCTCTGTGCCTGAAATGACACGCGCGTAACGCAAATTACGCAGCTCGAGGCAGCGATTGGCATTATTAGAGCGCGCGCAACTCAGTGAGTGCCTGATAAAATCTTAAAATTTACTTCATATTTCACAATTTGTCTCGGAATAACAACAGCATCTGGGGTGAGATTAATAAACACAAGTAGGGTGTTAATGAAATGACTTCAGGCTAGATGTTATGTGCCGTGACAAGCATTAGCTCAGGCCCTTAGTTTGTGAGAAATGTGAACACACTTTCACCCCAGAGACCTGAATTAAAGGCAGTAAAAGTGATAGTTAATATTTCAGTTCAATACACACTGAATAAGTCATTTTAACAAAAGCTGGACGACAAATAAGTTGTCTCAGTCACAAACTTGAACGCAGTAAATCATTCTCAGGATGATCATTATACCAGTGCTGTTAAAATATACAATTTATACCAGTGCTGTTAAAATATACAATTTATACCAGTGCTGTTAAAATATAAAAAAATGTTGGACTTGTTCAAGGTAAATTAAACCTGTCGCTCGTGGTGGTTAAAATAACGTCTTCTTTTTAGCCGTTAAACTGTGACAATTAGGCCTACTTAACATAATGGTATCTAGAATAAAATAATCAATTTCATCACAACATGCCACAAACACAATGTGTACTTACATTTCAACACCAAAAGAAAACTGATTAAAGAAATTAAGCATACGATGAAACTGGATTAAGTTAAAGAAGAAAATGGAGCATCCTGGTGATCTGTCAGAGCTATCCAGCAGCATTTCCTCTCAAATTTCCTCTTAGTTTGATGAATGAGCCAAATGTAGATGCTCCTAAGTCTAACTGCATGACAAAAAAATAAATAAACATTTTCCACATGTAGTAAAAAATCTGTTCTGATCTTCAATAGTCGTCGTGAATGGTTGATCCAGTTCGCGGCAACTCTGGGTTATTTCATAGGCTACACCTTCTAAAGAATCAAAACTGTTGCTAAATAAATAAATAAACAAATAAATAACCCACGACACACTGCTGTCCAGATACCAACTGAGAGCCATTAATAACTACTCGACAGCAAACAGTTTAACAAGAGGCGCTCTGGAAAGCTATAAATTACATAACCGCAATTAAAGTGCCAACCCTTGACCCTGACTGAGAGGCACAATCTTTATCACCTGATTTTAACATTGGCACTGGTTCCAAGTCAATACACATGACACGACTGCGCCGATAACTCAAGCACGTACAATTTATGAGCATATCGTACAAAGTCCGTCTGGAGAATCCGTACTTCAGATAGCACACGGCATGGGGGGGCACTCCAACACAGAGGCATGGACAGAAAGCAGCACGACTTCCGGGAATAAAAAAAAGACATAAAACTACGAAGCACTTACTAAGATGCAGATATGTGTCGTTATTATCCATGTTTGGACGAATGTGAAAGAACTGTCCAATTTTCTCGTAAAGTGTCTTGGGTTGCCGTTCTGGACGGCAGCATCTCCCCACTGCTGTCCGCGATCTGATTGAGGATTCGCTGCGCAACACTTGGGGCCCCACCGAGGGGGTGGCGAGGGCCAGATCCAATGACAGTCTCCTGAAGCTGTACAATTTGCCAAATTAAACGTATACGACTTGTTGTTTTTTCTTATCATTCACAGAAATTACTGAGTAATACTTTTTTTTTTTGTAAACTATCATACTAGGTAGATTATGTTTGTTCATGCTCATACTAGCTACTTTGTTTTAAATTTTTTAAATAATTATTTTGTTGTTGTTTTTGAATGAATGTGATTTAAAACGTGTTAATATTTCAGCTTTTTTATAATAATCTTCCTTTTTATTTATTGCATTATACACTATTTAAAAATGATTTTTCAAAGTTGTAAATAAGTTGAAGTATGTTTTACAAGAAAATACTACAGGCTTTTCACTTCAAATTTCACTTTTAATTAAATGTGTTACTTGCCGTTTCTTTGTAATTATTTGTAATATTTACTAGAAATTTGGGGGGAGAAGAAATTTTTTAAATTGTCACACCATTTTTAGTGACTTTAACTCACTGTAACACTCATGTAGCTTCAATAAAGCAAATTAATTTTGATTTAATGCTCATTTAAATGTTTTCTATTAGTATATGGACTAAAAGCAAGCAGATATAATGGGGAGATTTTGAATGAAATATCTTGCATAATTCATTATATAATTTCGAAACAAAATGTTTATACTAATAAAAAATACTATTAACTGTGTAAAAAAAAACTAAACAGCATTCATTAAACCTATCAACCCCAAGTAATTATTTTAGATTAGCATTCTAATTTGCAGTTTTATTGGGTCAGGGGATTATCATAATATTCTTTGTCGACAAACTGTTTAGTGCAAGATCTGCTGACCATGGCCTATGAGAGTTTGGAGAAGGAAAAAAAAAATTCTCCAAATTCCAAGCGCTCAGTCCCCACAAGGCTACCAGAGGGTCTGGAGACCCCTCAACACCCCCCAAGATCTCTTCAGAGTGAGGGGTCATTTAAGGGTGAGCTCCCACTACCTCAGGAGGTTATTCAGAAGTCACCAGCATTCAGAGTGTTGAACTCCTGTTTCGGGGGACACTGAGAGAGAGCGTTAGTGATGACCACTCTGTCAGTCCATGAGCTGGGCTGTCGAATGGGAAAAGCACACTGGCTCCCATCCTTGTAAAAACACAACATAAAAGAACACAGGGGGATGCTAACAAAGATGAATGGTTTCTCTTCCAACTCATTCCACACTAATCAGGGTCTTTTCATTTGTTCCCTGTTAGATAATGTAAATTTGTGGAGTCAAAGAAAGGGACTAAAAGGACAATTTATCAACCTCCCTTTTATCCCTCTAATGGAGCCACATGTTCCAGAGCATTACAATCGTCCTGAGCTGCAAAGTATATTAGAGCTGAAAAGCGGGTAACAAGAATGAGGATTAGATTTTAGTGCGAACATGAGCGACGTAATGATTCCCGGTGATGTATTCAATCCTGTTGCTTTCGCTAATGTGGAGAATGGCAAACATGAAAGGTGCGGCGTGCTTTACTGTTCTCAATGAAAATAGGTGTAATTGCTTTTTACATGGCTAATGGAATATTATGAAATTAAAGGAGATCAGGTGGTCAAGAGAAGCTCTAAATCACTGCAGATTTGAGGGAAGGCTTGTGGGATTATCTTGCTGTTTGTCCACAACAATAGCTGCCAATGGACCATTCAGTTGCAGAGTGTCGGAGACCTCACCCTTGCAATCATCTATCACCAGTTAAAAGCAGAGCGGCCCACCCCTTAACCTAACAGTCACTGCTCTGAGGCCAGCAGTCTGGTCATCTCACCCTCAGACAACAGCCCATGTCTGGGGGCACCATGTGGCAAATACACACAGAGCCAGACAAATGTGCCACAAATGTCTTAAATGTGCATCTTAAAGCTGATTGTCCATGCAAGAGTAATCCATATTTATCAATATCAACCCCCTACTTGCCTTTCTTGACTGATAAAGTGATTTACTGGTGCAATAATACTAGTATGATAAAAAGTAAATCTGAACAAAACAAGCCCACTTAATATTCTCTGGTAAGATAAAATAGATTTGTAAATTTAAAAGCAGAAATATAAAATTATTTTATAAAAGCACTTGGATAACTTTCTTTCTTCTGTGGAAGACACACACACACACAAAATCAAAGATTGTAGCTGAACAGTTTCGGTTCCCATTGACTTCTATTGTATGGATGAGAAATACAATGGAAGTCAATAGGAACCAAAACTGTTTGTTTACCAAGATTCCTCAAAATATCTTTTATGTTCCACAGAAGAAAGTAAGTCATACAGGGTTGGAATGAAATGAGTGAGTAAATGATGACAGAATTTTCAATTTTGGTGAACTATCACTTTAATTCCTCTGTTAAACCACTGTTCTTGTCATTTACGATCATTTTAGAGTTTTAGGCAACCCAATCTCATGAGAAAACAACTATTTTATGAGTTTCATAAATGACTTTAATAAAAATGTATTATTTTTGTATAAAACAGTCACTGTCATGAGAGATTATTGGTTTTAGGTGTTACATTGACAATGAAGCTGTACATTTAGATTTTTAGAAAGGTTTGTATGGAAGTTTGTTTTTTTACAATAAAATCTTTTTTGGCTCACATATTATGTCCATCTTGTGGCTGTACTTTTTAGAATTTCAACCTTTCTGTTTTGGCCCAATTCACTTCCACTGTAAATGCCTCATTGTAACACAGATCTTTACTTTTTAAACAAAAGGAAGGACAAGTGCAACTTAGATGTGATAATCAATATTATGCCACAAGTGCTGCCGACTAACTTTTATTGATAGGAATATTGCTTTAAACCCCGTGAGCTTTTAATCTGATGGTGTGAAGTGAAAACCTGTTTGAGAATCAACCTTCCTCTTTGCTCGACTGATCATATCATAGGATAGATTGTGTCTGTGTGTTTGGGGGGTGGTTCTCCATCTGTCATATACTCATTAACAGAGCCCCCTCATGTTTTAATCAGTCCCCATATGCTAACCACGCCCATACGCACACACACACACACACACACACACACACACACACGAGTGAAACCACGCCATGTATCATCAATCTCACAGGTCATTAATCTCTGAGCACAAAGGCAAAACATGCTGCAATTTTTGGGTGTGAAACCTCTTTTTGGTGCAGACCATTTCAACAAATCACAAAAAAGCATGTCAATCTGCTTTAAATCAAGTTGTGTGGTTCACAGCTATAAAAAACCATTCATCACTATATTTTATTGCATGTACTGGTAAACTCTGGCCTTCAGATGTCTAAATGCTGTTGCACACTAAGTTCTTTGTATACAGGATACAAATGAAAACATTCAAACACTTAAGAAAGACAAGAAAAAACAAAAACTTTGATCATTCAAAGGAGTTATGAAATGATTTTGACTGTATCAAAAACTATGTGACCCCCAGAAAACTGGGTTAAACTTCCAGCTCAGAAATCATTCCATAGTATTATGTCAGAGGCCATAATATCAAATATCCTCCAGCTGCTTTGTGACCAAGAGAGAGAAAGACTTGAGCAAGAGAGCCGGTGTTGACCTCCAGGAAGGACTGCCAGCATTACCTCACGAGTGGCGTCTTTTGCTACTCTTTCGCCACAGGATGTGCGTCATAAATCTTACTCAAGCCGAATGACAGAGGAGCTCATGGGACGCAACCCGGGACATACTGATCAACACGTTGGTACTAAACTTAAACCAACATGCAGGCACACAAAGCAGGGATAACTATAAAATATGTATCAAGGGAAGTGTATTTGTGGAAACCATTGTAAAACTGGCAAATCGGTATCTAAAAATAGAGGTTGAAGGTATAAAGTCAAGAATACATGTCCGAATTACCACTGATGAGTTTCTCCACAGGCATTTTTTTTTAAATATTGAAAACATGAGAACAAATACTGAAACTGAACTAAACATAATTACAGAAAAGAGTATCTGTAACATTTCGTAATCACTCAAAAGTGAATGCGAAGTGAAATTTTGTGAGCACTTCTGTCAGCATGATCATGCGAGACTTTCTCCAGCGTCAGTAAAAAGTATATGCATATAAATAGAAAAGAGGAAAGAACTGAGGGATCAAAAAATACATTACACAATGGTTTAATTAATCAACATAGGCAAATGCAGGAACACACTTGGCAATGAGGCTCTCGTTTCTTGAAGCACTGAAATAGAAACAGCTGAAGTAAGGCTACCCTGAGTGAACTTTAAAGAGGAAACAACAGGGCAAAATCAATTGTGCCTTAAGAACACACATGCCTTAGGCTGCCAGCTGAGAAGAACTAATGTTCTGATGCATTCTGCTTCAGATCTGGTAGAGTCATTTGAACGAATAACAATCATGAGCACTGCAGGGAAGTTTCAAACAGGCTGCCAAGGCCAGGTGCATTTGAGGAAAGGTAATGCAGGCTATAATAAGTATTTGCGAGTCCAAACAGCTGATAACAACATCAAAATAATCCACAAGTGATCCACATGACTGCAGTCCATCAATTAACATCTTGTAAAAACTGCATAACAAAAAAATAAATAATTAAAAATACTGTATATCA